TGTGAAATTGGGTATATTTGCCGTGACAAATGAGTGAAAGGTGCTAAATGTGCCCCTGGTGGCAGCAGCTCCTGGGCACAGAACAGACCACGGAGCTGTTGGCACCGTCTCTCACCTCCTGCTCCCCAGCAGGGTCTTGATGGCACCTTTTCTCTTACTCCATGGGAATTTGCAGGAACCTTGATGATATTTTTCCATGAAAACACACTCTTTTGGCCACCTTGGCTGTGCCTCCTTGTCTTGGCAGTGATTTACAGCTCCACTGTTCAGTGCTGGATTAGGACCTGCCACAACAGCTTGGTCCAGCCATGGAGAGGAGGAGAAACCACCTCTGTCCCTCCTGCCACCTGGCTGCAGGGAACACTGGGATTCCCTGGGACCTGGGACAGCAGATGGATGGAGCTTGCTCTTATCTCTGGTCACTGGTGACCTGTCAACTTGGCCACTGTTCTCCAACCCTGACTGCGCCGTGATGGTGCTGAAACAGAGCAGCCTCTGGGACTTTGGGATTTCATCCAGCTCTGGCCCTGGGGCAAATCCAGGTCATGTTGTGTCACCTCCATCGTCCCCTCCTGTGAAGGAGAAAACCCCGGTCTCCTGGTGGAATGGGGTGCACGTGGGGATGGGCACAACATCCTCTGCCCGTCCCTCTGCTCCGCTCACCGGAGGGCTGGTCCTGGGAGAGCTCTGGGGAGGGCAGGACCTACCCAGGCTGCACCTTCAGGTGCACGTGACCTCGACATCCCAGCCCTGCAGCTTGTTGGGGAATCACTTTTCCTGTGCCTTCATCCTGCAGCTGGGCACTGCCCTGTCCTTTGGAAGAGGTTCCTCAAGGAGCCTCTTCCCGGTGTCCTGTGTCCCTATGCCAGCCTGGCATGGATTTGTGTCTGTGTCTTACAACCCCGAGCAGCTTCAGCTGGAACTAAATTTAGCCACGACTCTGAGAATTTTATAAGCTGGATTTCAAGGTGTTGCTCCTGCTCGGTGGCTGGGATGGTTTGTACCTTTGGAACAGGGAGCTGGGGGATTAATGATGGGAATGAGGGATGAGCTGGGATACTCCTGTCTGAGCTACTCACCCCCAAGCCCTGAAGCTCCAGGGAGCTCGTGGGCTGGTGCTGCCCCTGCTCCACACCAGGCTCTGGGGTTTGTTTGGGCTCAGGACTGAGTTCAGTCAGCAGAGATGTGAAAAGATACCCCCTGAGCCCTGTTTGGTGCTGCTCCCACCTCTGGTGAACATCCCTGTGGAATTCTGTGCTGTCTGGCTCTAGGGGGTACAAACCCAAATTAATAACATTAATTTGCTTGGTTGCTGCTGGCAGAGGTGGGCTGGGCTTGGGAGATCCCTCTTGCAGGATGTTCTCCTGCTGCCACCCTTGGCATCACTTGTCTCCCAAGGAGCAAACGTGATCCTTGCCTGGATTGATCTGGATCCTTTGATCTGGATTTGGATCAAACCAGTGTCTGAATTGCAGAGGAAGAGGCTGCAGAGAGAGGGCCTGACAGTCTTTCAAAAACAGAATAAACCCCATACATACCCCAGCTGGCTCCTAAATCCACATGGACACAAGTTTGTGGGATGCTGTGTGGAACCTGACCTGCTCTGTGGAGGTGTGGAGGTACTGCAGCCTCTGGTGGGATCTGGGCCCAGTAATCTTCCCAAAACATCCCCACGCTCTGCAATGCTGACAAACATGCTCCATCACTTGGATTTTTAATATGGCTGTAAATGAAGCCTGTCAGTGCAGTTTTCCCTTTGGGACACACCATGGATCCTCTGTGAAACTTGGATGCCTTGGGACGGGACGGTCCGAGGTGTGACCTGCTGTGATTTTTCATTAGGACGTTGATTCCCATCGATTTATGGAACAATTTCTCCTCTCCAGCTCCCAGCCCACTCCCGTGGCTCCTCTGTAATTACCTCCTTTCCCCCTAATTCCCCAGTACACCTTCCAAGCCGTGGTTAATTGCAGTAGGATAATTACAGGTCATCTCCCAGCGCATCGTTTTAAAGCACTCAGCCCCTGAGCTGAAGGCAATTCCCACCCTCCGTGCCAAAATGGGCATTGCTGTGCCCTCTGCCTGCGGAGAGGGACCTTTGGAGCACATAATGAGCTTTGCTGGGCTGGGAACATCACAGCCACTATCCCATTACTTGCCCGTGTTGGATCCTCTTAGTGCAGCACGTCGGTGGGACAGAAGAAGGAGCGGCCAGATCGGGGTTGGAACTGCCAGAGGCTGCAGTGTGAAGCACCAGGGCAGGGCCCCCATGGGCTTTGGGGCCGGGGGTGGCTGCAAATGAGATTTCTTGAGGTGGGGAGAGGAGCTGAGTTGTTTCCAGAGAGCGAGGTGAAAACTCGGTGTGAAGCATCCTGAGAATGTGGGGTCTGGTCTGGCCCTCTGAGACCATCGAGTCCAACCCTTCCCCAGCACTGCCAGGGCCACCACTGACCATGTCCCCAAGTGCCACATCCACAGGGCTTTTAAATCCCTTCAGCATTTAAACTCCACCCCTGCCCTAGACAACTGTTCCAGGGCTGGACAGCCCTTTCCGTGAAGGAATTTTCCCAATATCCAACCTGAACCTCCCCTGGCACAGCTGGAGGCCGTTCCCTCTCCTCCTGTCCCTTGTTCCCTGGGAGCAGAGCCCGACCCCCCCCGGCTCCCCCCTCCTGTCAGGGGGTTGCAGAGCCAGAAGGTCCCCCCTGAGCCTCCTTTTCTCCAGGCTGAGCCCCCCCAGCTCCCTCAGCTGCTCCTGCTGCTCCAGCCCCTTCCCAGCTCCGTTCCCTTCCCTCACACGCTCCAGCCCCTCAGTGTCTCTTGTCTGAGGGGCCCAGAAGTGCCCCCAGTGTTGAACACATGTGGGATGGGAGCACAGCAAGGAATCTGGGGGGACAGGACCCTGCCCCCTCTGTGCCTGCAATCAGAGAAGCAGCAAAGGGAGGATGGAGGGAACAGAGACGTAGGGTCAGGTCCTTCCAGGTTACAGGTGTATGTGAAGCAAAACCTCACAAATATGACGGGTTACACTGATTTTATTTTATTTTTTCAAAGGACAGACTCAAACTCGCTGTGTTAGTTGTTTGTTTATGTGATCTGAGTTTGGTTCCTGCCTCTTCCCATGGCCTGGGACAGGTCCTGGGGCTCCTCGAGGTGAGCTGGGGACAGTGCTGAGCTCCCATGGGGGACATGGCAACGTTCAGGATGTCACCGAAGCCACATGTGCCCACCCCCTGCATTCTTCTTTCTAATGGTGGGACATTCATTCCCTCTGCTTTGTGCTTCTTCACCTAAAGCATGAAAACCTAAAGCTTTGTCGTCATCATTTCTGATGTTATCAGAGGAAAAACTTCTTTCCCTGGATGAGACTCAAATCTTGCTCCTGTCCAAAGGAAAGTTTTGATGAAGAACTGATGATTTGGAGGTTTTCTTGGACAAGTTGTGGTAAAATCAGGTCAGGTCATGGAAGCTGAAGCCCTGACCCTGTTGCTTGATGAGGAGATACCTCGACACTCAGGTGCCACCTGCAGCCCAAATTCGGAGTAACCTGCCAAGAGCTGAATAAATCATGTGTGGAATCCAAATAACTGGAAACAGAAGATAGCTGAGCCCTGGGGGTGGCTGGAAGTCTATCAGACGTCCAAAACTCTCTGGTTTTAGCCCTTTTGAGTAGTTTTGAGTTTTTCAGCCAGCATTTATCCAGAGGACCTACCTTGGTATGCTGACAAGTTGGAGGAAGCTGCAGCTCAAGCACAGTTAATTTACCTGCAAGCAAAATGATTTCCCTACCTCCAAACTCCTGGAGAATTTCCCTAAAAATCGTGTTTTAAATGTAGAGAAGAAGTTTAGAGTGTCCTACCTTGCAGAGATTTGGGGGAGAGAGGAGGAGCAGCAGCCCTGCCTCTGTGCTCAGCTGCACAGGGGGTGGATGGCAAAGGAAGAGGGACTCGGGGTTCCATCCAGGATGGAAAGTAACCTAAAAATAGAGCTGTGAGGGCCGGCTCTGTCCTGTCAGACCATTGTCTGGGATCAGGCAGTGTGGGACAGCCAGCAGCATTCCGGCCCTGGGTGGACATCCTGCTCCAGGTAATCTCCTGCCGGGAGTCTGGCGCTCCCAGGGCTGGTGATGGTGTCCCAGCTGTCCCCTACCTGGTGCTCCGTGTCTTGGAGCATCCCCTGAGCCCTCCTTCCCTGGGCACACTGTGTCTGTGGGTGTCCCATGGCTGGGGGTTCCCCAGAGCCCGTTGGGGAGGGAATGGAGGCCGTTGGCCATGGTGGACGTGTTGCAGGGGCCAGGCCAGGCCTTGGGCTGTGTCCTGGGCTGTGCAGCTCCAGGGAGGAGCTGGGAGTCCTCCCTCTCTGCCTTCTTGGAGCACAGTGGTCGCTGGCTCCCAGCTGGAGCAGCCCCAGAGCAGCTGTGGCTGCCCTATCCCAAGGCCAGGTTGGGCAACCTGATCTCTTGGAAGGTGTCCCTGCCCATGGCATGGGGATGGAATGAGATGATCTTTAAGGTCCCCTCTAACCCAGACCATTCCATGATTCTATGATCCTCTCCTTTCCATGGCTGTCACCCCAGGGACCACTGTCCCATCCAGCTTCTCCTCATTTGCTGGATTGGGGATGGATGTGACTGCCTGAGATCTCAAGGCTTGGCTGAGGTTTGTGAGAGCCCAGCCTGGGCTCCTGGGGTCCGCAGCGGGGTCAGGGATGGGGACAGGGACAGGCTGTGGGGCGGGGACACATCAGGCCAGGCTGCCACGAAGATGGAACACCATGGAGTCTCCATGGACTCAGGGCAGTTGTCCGTGTTGCCGCCATCTCCTTGGGGATGGTGCAGGTTTGGATGGTTGGAGTTGAGCTGTCCTGGGCCCCGTGGATTTGGGAATTGTGCAGAGGAGGAGGGGTTGTTGTGGAACCAGCTCTGGGGTCACCGTGTGACACCTCCCAGCACCCAGGGCTGTGCCGGGGGCTGACCTGTCCCTCTGTCCCTTCCTCCCCAGGCCTGCCGCGATTTCCTGGACTTAGCCGAGAGCCACAGCCGGAAATGGCAGCGGCTGCTGCAGCATGAGCGGGAGCAGCGGATCCGGCTGGAGGAGACCATCGAGCAGTTAGCCAAGCAGCACAACAGCTTGGAGCGCGCCTGCCGCGGCGCCCCCGGCCTGGCCGCGCCCACCACCACCAGCTCCAGCACCACCAAGGGTGAGGCCGGGCCGGGAGGGACCGGGAGGGACCGCGGGATTCCCGCTGGGCTGCTCCCAGCGAGCCCAAGGCTCTGTATCCCTGTGGTGCTTTTCTAAACGGATCCCATTAGGCCACAATTATTCCTAATCGTCCTTGCTCGGGGACTTGGATGTCCCCAAGATACAGATGTGGGAGAGGGCCGTGTCCCCAGCTCGCTCACGCTGTTCCAGACTATTTTGGGAACTTCAGCCCTCACCGGTGGGCACATCTCTGGGTGCTGGAGGGCGGCCACGGTGCCCTGGCACTGCCAAGTTGGCTGTGTGGGGTGGCAGAGGAGCAGCCAGGGGCTTGTTTGCAGTAAGATCCAACAGCTTTGCAGATTCCTGCCAAATGCCCTTCCCCGAGGGAAGCATTAGTTACAGCTACACAAACTGCAAATAGTGCCGTGTCTTATTTTTAAAGGATATAAGAGCCAAGAGAGAGAACAGCAGCAGCTGGGGGGTGATGGTGGTGCCGGGTGCTGTCCTCACTCCTCTGTGGCCTCAAGTTGTGCCAGGGGAGCTCTGGGTTGGATATTAGGGAACACTTTGATAGAAAGGGTTGTCAGGCATTGGAACAGGCTGCCCAGGGCAGTGGAGGAGTCCCTGTCCCTGGAGGGATTTCAAAGCCGTGTGGATGTGGCACTTGGGGACACGGTCAGTGGTGACCTTGGCAGTGCTGGGGGATGGTTGGACTCGATGGTCTCAGGGGGGTTTTTTCTGTGGCACAGCTGGGGAGGGCAGGGTGGAAATGGCTGCAGAGACAGGCACAACCCCTGCTGAGGCGGTGACCCTGCTCCTCGGGAGAGCGTGGGAGTGATGTGGGGAAGGAGGTTGCTGAATCCCCCGGACGGGGCAGGAGCAGGGGAGCTGCAGGGACTCCACCAGTGTCTGCTCCCGATGTCGCAGCCATCGATCTCTCCCACCGCAGCAGAGAGATGTTTACAAATGCAGGGCTGGAAAACCCGAGGGCTGGGAAATCTCCCCGAGCATCACCTGAAACACGTGACTGTTTTTTCCTGCTCTCTCCCAGCCGGATTTCCCGGCGGACGGGGCGGCGCTGGAGCGGAGCCGCACCAGACGCGGTTGGGTGTGCGAGTCACGCCCTGTGTCAGCCCCGGGCAGCCCGGGGGCATTTCTGGGGGTGCTCCCGAGCATGGCAGGGGAGCCCTGTGTGCCTGGGTTGGGGAGCAGGTTGGGAGCTCCTTGCTTTTAGGAGCTGGAAATTGGTATGGAATCCTGCCACTGTGGAGTGGGATGGAGAGGAAGGGGCCAGGCTCTAACGGGAGCCGGTGTGGAGGGGACACGGAAGGGGGGGCTCTGGGGACAGACCCTGCTCGGTGGGTTCTGAAGGGTCTCACAGCCTGTGTGCCCACAGGGAGTGTGCAGCCTGCAAAGGGAGAGGCCAGTGATGAAGATGAGGAGACGGAGTATTTCGATGCCATGGAGGATGCACCAGCTTTTATCACTGTAACTGCCGACCCCAAACACCACAGGTACGACCCCCCAGCCCCGCTGGGAGCACTGGGAGAGCGGGGAGGGCAGGTTTGCCTGGCATCTCACTCAGGCCCGAGGGCAGCACCCCCTCCCACGGGATCACTCTGTGGGCAAGTCCCTCAGAAAACTCCTCCCAAACTCATCCCAGCCTCTGCCCAGGGCTCCCTGTCTGGCTGCTCCTGCATTCCTGGAGCCAGTGAGGCTGAGGATGGCCCCAGCTATAGTGAAGAAGGTGAGGAAGGGCAGGTGTCAAGCCTGTGCTGGGGGAAAGTGGAGTCCTCTGCCCCAGCAGCTGATGGGAGCAGGGACCTGGAGGGAGATCCCTCGGAGCACAGCAGAGGCAGGGAGCTCCTTGCCTTAATAGAATCATGGAATAGTTTAGTCTGAAAGGGACCTTAGAGCTTATCTTGCTCCTTGCCCATGGCAGGGACACCTTCCACTAGCCCAGGTTGCTCCAAGCCCCGTCCAACCTGGCCTTGGACACTTCCAAGGATCCAGGGGCAGCCACAGCTTCTCTGGGCAACCTGTGCCAGGGCCTCCCCACCCTCCCAGGGAAGAATTCCTTCCCATTATCCCATCTAACCCTGCCCTTCAGCTGTGTCACCTGCTCTTACTCCTCTCTGGGCATCTGGGCGGGAGGTACCTGTTGACCCACAGTCACATCACTGGGCTTGGTGACAAAAGCAGAGTCTCTGCGCCCGAGCATCCCCTCCTGAGCATCCTTTCCTGAGCATACCCTCCTGAGCATCCTTTCCTGAGCATCCCCTCCTGAGCATCCTTTCCTGAGCATCCCCTCTCAGCACCTGTGCACGGCCTCTGTCACCCTGTTTCCATCCCAGCAGCACCCCGGGGTGTTGCAGGGAGGTGCTCTGGGTGATGCTACACCAGCCCCATCTCTCCTGTCCCCTCCTCTGCCCTTTCCCCTGTTCACCAGCTGATGTTTCTCCCCTGCAGGCGTTCGGGCAGTAACCTGAGCGGGGCCAGCGAGGGCCACCCCGAGGACTGGAACCTGGAGGACAGTGTGAGTTGGGCTGGCAGAGTGGGAGGGATGGTCCTGGTGGGATTAAACCAGGGAGAGGAGCAGGAGAGGACTTGGTTGTGGAGGGACCTTCCATTGGAATCACAGGTGCTCTCTGATGGTTGCTCCGTGAGCCATGGCTGGGGGACAGATGTCAACAGTCTCCCATCAGCATCCTAAATACTTTCCTAAGGGAAGTGGGAGGGTATTGGGGGACAATTGTACCCATATTTCTCTGGAGAACAGACTTCCAGCGATGCTCCCCAGCACGAGTGCACACAGTGTCTCCTGAGCTGTGGTTGCTGCTCCTGGGAGGTGTTGGATCAGGTTGGGTCATGTCCAGCTCAAACCTGTTGCTTCTGTTGCTTCCACAGGTCTTTGAGAGCTCAAATCAAAGCAGCTACAATGAGTCCACGTGCAAGGATCTCCTGCCGAAGAAAAGGAGACGGACTCGCATTCCCGACAAACCCAACTACAGCCTTAACCTCTGGAGCATCATGAAGAACTGCATTGGCAAAGAGCTCTCCAAGATCCCCATGCCTGTAAGTCAGCGTGTCCCTGGCACCCAGGACTGGCACAGAGGGTTTAGTTTGGGCACACTCCTGGCTGTTGAAAGGATTTGGATTACAGCTCTGGATGGTCCTACCGGGACCTGAGTGGGACAGGAGCACGTCACCAACTGACAACTGTGACTGGATTTTGCACTGGCAAAACATTCTGAAACCACCTCATTCTTATCATGGAATGATGGAATGGTTTGGGTTGGAAGGGACCTTAAAGATCATCTCATCCCACCCCCTGCCATGGGCAGGGACACCTCCCACTAGCCCAGGTTGCTCCAAGCCCCGTCCAACCTGGCCTTGGACACTTGCAGGGATCCAGGGGCAGCCACAGCTTCTCTGGGCAACCTGTGCCAGGGCCTCCCCACCCTCACAGGGAAGGATTTCCTCCCAATATCCCATCTATCTCTGCCCTCTGACAGTGGGAAGCCATTCCCTGTGTCCTGTCCCTCCATCCCTTGTCCCCAGTCCCTCTCCAGCTCTCCTGGAGCCCATTTAGGCCCTGCAAGGGGCTCTCAGCTCTCCCTGGAGCCTTCTCTTGTCCAGGTGAACCCCCCCAGCTCTCCCAGCCTGGCTCCAGAGCAGAGGGGCTCCAGCCCTGGCAGCATCTCCATGGCCTCCTCTGGACTCTCTCCAGTGTGTCCTTGTTCCAGGGTGAGCTGGAGCAGAGGGAACATTGCCCATGTGCCCTCTGCAAATCCAGCTGTTACAGAGTCATGGAGAGCCCCAGGACACTGTGAATCCCTGAGGATTCATGGAGAAGCCACCTTCTGGTGATGTAATTCCTGGGGACTGGACACTTGGGTCTCAGCCCCACCTGCACTGATCACAGCAGGGCAGGATTGCACCCCAGGGACCCAGAGTGCCTCATTTTCCTTTCAAAGAGCAGCTTTTTAGTGAAGGAGATGCCAGGGGGTGATTTTTGGTGCTACTGGGCTCAGTCCTGGGGGCGAAGGCTCCCTGTGATGGTCAGAGAGGCTTTGCTGGGGGGGTCTGTCTGGAGGAGCCTCTCTGGCTGCACAGAGGGCAAGTGGGGTGTGTGTTTAATTCTCGCAGATAAATAACTCTGCCTCAGCTAAATGCTGCCACAGCAAACTCCCCAAAACTGCAGCCCTGTTTTTTCAGAGTAGACCAGCCCTTCTCAGCCTACCTGTTCTCAGCAGCTCAGCACCAGTGAGCAGCATGGGTGGGACTGGGGGCCATCTCCCCAGAAATCATGAGGGCCTGGCAAGCTTGGGAGAGCTGGAAACATCTGGGATGCCTGGGGGTTCTTGTGCTGGCTGGAGTGGAATTAGCCCAGCAAAGGGTGATCCTTAGCCCTGGAATCGTATTCATGGTCCATCCTTTGCTGGGCAAAGAGGAAGGAACACATTCCAGGGGCTTGGATGCTGAATTGGTTGAGCTCTGGGGGAGAGTGCTGAGCTGTCTCTTCCTGGTGCTGTTTCCAGCCCAGCCCAGCCGGGCGTGTTTCTGCAGCAGCAGCAGATCGAGTGTGATGGGCACAGGAATAAGCTCAGGATGTGAAATCCCAGCAGCTGCTGGTGCATGGAGACAGGAAACTTAGACCTTCCCTATCAATCAAATCATCCCAGGAGCTGCTGAAGTCCAAACCTGAGGGCAGTAGGAAAGAGGACAGGGATAGATGGGATACTGGGAAGGAATTCTTCCCTGTGAGAGTGGTGAGGCACAGGTTGCCCAGAGAAGCTGTGGCTGCCCCTGGATCCCTGGAAGTGTCCAAGGCCAGGTTGGACGGGGCTTGGAGCAACCTGGGCTAGTGGAAGATGTCCTTGCCCGTGGCAGGGGGTGGCACTGGATGATCTTTAAGGTCCTTTTCCACCCAAACCATTCCATGGCTGCATGACAATAAGTAGGACACACCCCACAAGCTCAGCCACACATGGGCAGTTCTATGGGAGACTCCCCCCAAGAACAAGCAGCCTGTGGGCAACAGGGCAATTTAACCTCCTTCCAACAGCCACTGAAATCCTTTCCATGGTCCATGGAGAGGTGCAGGAGAGTTTGGCAGCTCCGTGGATCCAGATGGAGCTGCCGAGGGAGGGCTTTGGAGCAGACACTGCGGGAAAGGAGGAGGAGGAGGGAGTGGAACAGGAAACTTGGGGAATTCAGTTTGGAAATGTGGTTACTTATAGCACAAACCATCAGTGAGTCCATCGTGCTCTCTGAGGGATGGGATTTCTCATTCCATGGGCTTCACCCGAAGTCTTGAGGAATTAGGACCATTTCTGAGATGCTCTTGAGTTGTTCTGCGATCCACCTCCTTCCCGGGGGATGTGATGGGCTCACAAACCTCTCGTGCAAACAGCTCCTTAATTTTTCCTCTGATGTACAAACCTGCAGCACTGAAGAGGAGGAAAAGAGTTGTGAGGACTTGGGATTTGGGTGGGTTCATCTTCCTCCCCCATGGAAGGATTTTGCTTCCCCGTTGCTGGAGCGGTGCCGAGGATGGAGCTGCCAGCTTTGTTCCCTGCATCCCTCCCCAGAGTTATCCCAAATAATTTGCTCTTTCTGTGGATCTGATGCTGCTCTTTCTGCACAGCTCTCTTTTCTTGGATGCTGTGAGATCCCTGCCACTTCCCTGAGTGGAAAATCTAAAAACAGCTAAATCCTGGAATCTGGAGTTTGTTTTCTTTACCATGAAATATTTAACTTGGCTTACAGAAGTGGTTCTCCCATCCTTCAGCCATCTGCTCCTTCTAAAATGCATTTTTTTATTCTGAACTGAAATTAAAAAATTAATTTCATGTGGATTTGAGGCAGAAGACGTTCTGAGGCTCCATCTTTCTTTCAATTATTTTTAAATTTCAATATTTTTAGAGCAAAAAATAAGGACACTGTCATGGGAGTCCCTGGAGCAGGGAGACCCCAAAATGGGGCTTTTCCAGGTTTTCTGAGCAGCTGGGTCAGGCTGGCACGGGGATGGCTTTACCAGGAGGTGGTGAGGACAAGCTGGGGAGCAGCACATCCCTGTCCCGTGTTGTTATGGCTGGTGGGATGGTGACTGGGAGGCAGCAGGAGCTGCTGAGGCTCATTTTGGGGGTCAGGATGCCTGGGATGATCCCTGGTTATCCCACGGGGCTGCCCCACACCTCATCTGGGGACTTCAAAGCCTTGGTGCTCCCATGGCACTGTTCAGGGAGCAGAGCTTGTGTTCCCTGCCTTTATTTGGGGTCTGGTGATGCCTCCTGGGTGTCTCTCCTTCCCTAACCCCGCTGTTCCCCTGCAGGTGAACTTCAACGAGCCGCTGTCGATGCTGCAGCGGCTCACGGAGGACCTGGAGTACCACGAGCTGCTGGACAAGGCGGTCAAGTGCGAGAGCTCCACGGAGCAGATGTGCTTCGTCGCCGCCTTCTCCGTGTCCTCCTACTCCACCACTGTGCACCGCACAGCCAAGCCCTTCAACCCCCTGCTCGGGGAGACCTACGAGCTCGACCGGCTGGAGGAGCTCGGCTTCCGCTCCCTCTGCGAGCAGGTGAGGGGGGCTGGGGGTGTCCCCCCTGCTCAGCTCCCTCCTGGAAGGACAGCCAGCCAGCCAGCTTCTCCTCACACCCAGCCTTCCCTGCACTCTCTCCCAGCAGTTATTGACAGGCAAGGACAAGGACAAGCTGGTGGAGTCCCTGTCCCTGGAGGTGTTCAAGGAACGACTGGATGCTCTGGTCCAGTCGACAAGGTGGTGATGGGTCACAGGTTGGACTCGATGATCCAATATCAGCACAAGTCCTATGAGGAGAGGCTGAGGGAGCTGGGGTTGTTTAGTCTGGAGAAGAGAAGGCTTAGAGGCGACCTCATCACTCTCTTCAACTACCTGAAGGGAGGTTATAGCCAGGTGGGGGTTGGTCTCTTCTCCCGGGCAACCAGCAATAGGACAAGGGGACATGGGCTCAAGCTCTGCCAGGGGAGGTTTAGGTTAGATGTTAGGAAGAAATTCTTTACAGAGAGGGTTATCAGGCATTGGAACGGCCTACCCAGAGAGGTGGTGGATTCACCATCCCTGGAGGTTTTTAAAAAGAGATTGGACGTGGCCCTTAGTGCCATGATATAGTAATTGGAGTTGGATCAGGGGTTGGACTTGATGATCTTGGAGGTCTTTTCCAACCCAACCTATTCTATGATTCTATGATTCTATGATTCTTTGATTCTATGAAACAGCCTCAAGCTGCACCAGGGAAGGTTCAGGTTGGACATAAGGAGGAATTTCTTCATGGAAAGGGTGGTCAGGCATTGGAAGGGGCTGCCCAGGGAGGTGGTGGAGTCCCCATCCCTGAAGGTGTCCAAGGAATGACTGGAGGTGGCACTCAGTGCTCTGGCTGGGGGACAGGGTGGGGATGGGTCACAGTTTAGATTTGGTGATCTTGGAGGTCTTTTCCATCTTAAATGATTCAGTGATTCTATGAAACGGGCTCAGGTTGTGCCAGGGGAGGTTCAGGTTGGATATTAGGAAAAATTTCTTCCCTGAAAGAGTTGTAAAGCCTGGGCACAGGCTGCCCATGGCAGTGGTGGAATCACCATCCCTGGAGGGGTTCAAAAAACAGGTGAACATGGCACTGCAGGATAGGGATTAGTGGGCATGAGGTTAGACTTGGTGATCTTGGAGGTCTTTCCAAGCTTAATGATTCCATGATTCCTCCTGGCCAAGAGAGCCAGTGGGTTGCTGTTGGCCTTGGTGGGAGCAGCAGCAGGCACAGCCTAAGGCATGTTTTGGAAGCAGAGCAGGAGGAGGGGTGGGAGGGGAGGACAAAGGTGTCCTGGCAGCTCCCTGGAGCTGGGGCTCCTGTCACACCTCAGCACTTGAACAGCAAGGGAGAAGCTCTCCTTACCCCAGCTCCCTCAGCTGTGACCAGGGAAGCTGTGGCTGCCCCTGGATCCCTGGAAGTGTCCAAGGCCAGGTTGGACAGGGCTTGGAGCAACCTGGGTTAATGGAAGCCAGAGGGGTGGAAGGAGATGAGCTTTAAGGTCCTTCCAACCCAAACCCTCCTGTGATTCCATGATTCAGTTGATGATTCTATGCGGCGATGCCCCAAGCTCTTCCAGGGTCTCTTTGTGCTGGAAGGTGTCTCAGGATCTCATTTCTTTCATGCTGGACTGAAATGTTTTAGTTTCCCAGCCTGGGGGAGCCCCAGGAGCTCTGAGAGCCCCGTGCTCTGAGCACAGGGCACAGCAGGTGCACATTGATCAACCAGCAGGTCTTAATTAACTACCTGGAGTGCTGAATGAGTTGTGACCTGTGGAGATAATGGACTGTTTAATGCTTAGCACAGTTGGCTGGTCCATCCTGGATTCCTAGGGAGGAACGGGGCCATTTGTTACCCCTTTCAGGCAGGACATCCCTTTGTGAGGGCTCTCCTTTCTCCAGAGGGTCTGTCTCAGCACACACTGGGAGTACACAGTGAGGAGGCTCAGGCTGGCACC